TGGTGGTCTGAGGCTGGGTGAACAAAGCGCACCAGCCACGGTGCTGCAAAGGTGCCCAAGCGACCAGCAGCGCATTCAAATCTTTGTGCCCAACGCCGCACTGGCGGAACAAGTGGCCATGCTACCTGTCGTGTGTCGCCATTGCCAGGCAGCGCAGCAAGGCGAGGATGCTCACCTGCAGCTCGGACAGTTTGCGGAGCACGCGAGACGCTGCCCTAACAAGCCTGCGCGGTGTCTCAACTCACTCGCGTGCCACCCCATTCCGCGTCGCCAGCTCATGGAGCACCTGCAGCTCTGCCATCTCGCCACCTGCCCCATGAACGTATGCAGTGTGTTTGTGTGTGTTTGTATGTGTGCGAGCCTGATTGTGAGAGAGAAAGAGAGAGAATGTGTGTGAGTGTGCGCGCGCCTGGTTGTGTGTGTGCGTGTGTGTGTGTGTGTGAGTGTGTGTGGATACAGCGTTGCTTTGTGCAAGTGTGCGCTTGCACTTGTTGCTCCGTTCCAACCGTCACTCACACGACCCATCAACCGTGCTCTACAAAGGTGCTCGGGTGCCGGTTCAAAGGCACGTTCTTTGAGGTGCAACACCATCTTGACACGTGCGAGTTTCGTGGCAGCGACCACACCAGCATTGTGTCCCGTGCAGTGCATCGCCTGCGCGATATTGAGCAGCAGCTTTGGCGGGAGTTTTCTTCAGCGTGGACGCGTCTCGATCATCTCAACACAGTGGGTCCTTTGTCACGCGCACATGAACCGTGACGTGCGCTCAAGAACCAACATGTCCCTGCGCGCTCACACACACACACACACACGCACACACACACACACACACACACACACACACTCCTGCCTGTACGCACGCACACACACACACACACACACACACACACACACACACACACACACACACACACACACACACACACACACACACACACGCACACGCACACCCCCTACCAAGCTCATGTGGGTTCGTTATTTCGTTTGGGTGCCCTTGATGTTGAACAGAGCATCGACGAAGGTTTGAGGGCGGCTGAGCAGCAGAGGAGAGACAGGGAGAGGCAGGCGCACCAGTCACAACAGGGGCAACACGAACACAAAAACAAACACCAGCAACACCAGCAACAGCAACATCAACAGCAGCAGCAGCATCAACATCAGCAGCAGCTTGAGGATCGACGTGTGTCATCACTGCGTGAATTCGTCATGCCGTTTCGCTTCCGGTGCATTGGCTCATTTCGGTGAGTGTGTGTCTATGTGTGTGTGTGTGTGTGATTGTGTGTGTGTCTGTGTGTCTGTGTGATTGTGTGTGTGTGTGTCTGTGTGTGTGTGCGTTTGCTAGATTGTGCCCAATCCATTCACTCCATCACGCGTGCACTTGTGCGTGCGTGTGTGCGTGCGTGTGTGTGTGCGTGCAGGGGCCACACGGAGCCGGTGTGGGCACTGCATTCCTTCAACGATATGCTCTTTTCCGCCGGCAGTGACGAAGCTATCAAGGTTCACAGGAGAGAGAGAGAGAGAGAGAGAGAGAGAGAGAGAGAGAGAGAGAGAGAGACAGCTGTACATGTGAATGTGTGTATGTGTGTGTGGCGCATTTACATTTGCATGCTTTCCCTGCTCGTTCGTGACGCTCACGGTTCTGATTGCACGGGCGTGTGGCAGGTGTGGGACATGTCCAAGCTCTCGTGTGTTCGCACGCTTCGACCGGGCGAAGGTGAGCTGCACTGCACATTCCATTTGCACCCTCTCGTGTCGTTGACACAACTCGCATGCAACAGCACACTAGCGCTAAGATGTTTTCATACATGTGTGTGTGTGTGTAACAGGTGTGATCCACTGCTTGTGTGTCTGTGACGAGCACCTCATCTGCGGCACATCCACTGGAAAGGTGAGGTGCAGCACAGCGCTTGGCGATGACGTTTGTCGAGTACTGGGAGGACTATAGTGACACGCTCGTGCACACCCACCCCACACCCCACCCACACTCACCCACCACACACACACACACACACACACACACACACACACACACACACGACGCACACACACGCACACACACGCACACACACACACACACACACACACACACACTCATGCACACACACACGCGCGCGCGCGACGCAAACACATTGGCACCAACACCAACAGGTTCTGCTGTTTTCGACGAGCACATATGAGCTTGAGCAGACGCAGCAAGTGGCCGACTCCATCATCTCGTGCGCATCTGCACACGACCACCTCGCATACATCGGATCATTTGGGTCGTTGCAGGTGGGGCAGCCGCCACATTGTTTGCTGGGACTGTACATGGCACATGCGCCCCATGGATCATGTGACATGTGGGAACCGCATGCATTCATGCAACACACACACACACACACGCACACACACACATGCGTTCAGACAACGCCGTGCCTGGATCTTCTCACACCTTGTCGTGCCAAGTCCCGTCGCTCACCAACCAACTTATAACCACCACCACGCGTTCAGATGATGGCGATGGACGGGACGGTGCCGCAATCGCAGGAGGGGCTCGGCCACTGGATCCGCGCACTCGTTGTTGTTCCGCAACAGCAGCTCATCTACTCAGGTGCACGCATGTATGCACGTGCTCCTTGGAGGATGGCACGGAGGTGCTGCGGTGGTGGTTGACGGCATGGTCACGCTCCTTTCGCACTCACGTTCCATATGCACGCACACACATGCACACACACATGCGTACACACACATACATACACACATGCACACATACACACACGCATGCACACACACATGCACACACACACACATGTCAGCGAGTGGCGCGGAGGTGTGTGTGTGGCAGCTGGGAACGCTGATGCGCGTGCAGTCGTTTCGCACAAAATACGGCAGCGTGCGCTCGCTCGCCATCTCAAACAATCTTCTCATCACCGGCACCCAGAACCAGGTGTGCTGTGTGTTGGGTTTGCATGAGAGGGTGCTGTGTTTTATGTGCAGGTGGATGGCTGTCTGCTTGCCTGCACAATCTACAGCCCCATTCTGGTTCCACTCACGACGTTCCCAATACCATATCGCCCCGTCCTTCACAACGGCAACAGAACATCCACATTTACGACACGGAGACAGGCACCCATCAGGGCAAGCTCGTTGGTCACGTGGGCGCCGTTGAAGCCCTGATCACTTCTCCGGGCGGTCAGGTGCGTGTCGTGCCGTGATGTGATGTGTGACACTGCGTGGTATTGTGTGGGGTGTGCACTTGTGGTATTGTGTGACACTGTGTGCTGTGGATGGGTGTGGTGTGGTGGTGGTGTGTGTGTGTGTGTGCCCCTTGCGTTTCCCCTTGGCTTGCGTTTGCCCTGCTCGCCACAACTGCTCACGCGTTGCACCACCGCGTTCTGCATCAGCAGTTCCTGCTGAGTGCCAGCTGGGACAAGACCATCAAGATCTGGAATCTCGCCAAGGGCCTCGAGATACAGGCGCTGTGCAGGCACGAAGGCAGCGTCAACGCGCTTGTGAGTGCACCGAACAGTGGCGGTGGCACACGAGGCGATGGCATGGGGTGTAATGGTGTGTGTGTGTGTGTGTGTGTGTGTGTGTGTGTGTGTGCGTGAGTGCGTGTGAGTGTGAGTGTGTGTGTGTGATTGACATGTGTGTGTACGCGCGCGTCAGTTCAGGTGGCTGCTGTCGTTGTTTAGTTGGAGAATGACACCAACAGGCAGACATCATTCATGCATTGTGCATTTGCACGAGACCTGGGGTGCGGTAACAAGGGAATCACAACACGTAACACTTTACACATGCACACGTAACATTCACACATGCGCACTCATACACTCAAACACGCGCACGTCTGTACACATACACGCATCGTTTAGATTTGGCATGGGGAGATGCTCGTCTCTGCGGGCGCCGACGCGGCCGTGAAAATGTACAAATACACACACGTCGCCCGCGCAAAGTGAACCATCCCTACACACCATCTCGAACCACAGGCAGCCTGGTTGTGCACCGTGCTTGCGTGCGCGCGTGTATTGTGCGCATGCTTGCATGCACGTGTGATCTACGACGTTGCGGTGTCGATTGCGGATTCGGAGCGAAAGACCTCGAGATGCTGCAGCTGTGCCTTGAGCATCGCAACCTCGTCCGTCCGCCCGGCCTGTCAGCATTGGGGTGATGGTGGTGGTGGTTGTGACGACGACGACGATGGCAATGGTGATGCGTTCTGATGGTGGTAAGTGTTGTTCAAACAGCACCCTTTTGTACAAACCCTGTTGCTGTATCTAATCATAATATTAAACCGAAGCACAACACGCACGCAAGCACATATGTGTGTGCGAACACCTTCTGCGCTTCGCGGAGATACACGAGGAGTGAGCGCTTTTCCGCCTCCACAATATCCTCAAAGTCGTCGGGGACAGTTCGTCTGCAAATATTATGTTGGTGGAGGGGGAGGTTAAATGTGGTTGCACAAAGAGTGATACTCTATAAACACGCAACGGCACACACACACACACACACACACACACACACACACACACACACACACACACACACACACACACACACACACACACACACACCACACACCACACACAGAACAACAACAGCAGCAGCAGCAAGGCGTACTCTGGCGTGGTGACGGACGGCTGTCGCGCCCGCGCGTGTGATGATGACGACGACGACGATGGCGATGATGAGGACCCTGGGTGGCCTGCACCGTGCGTGGTCTGCTGTGCTGATACTGACGCAGACGCAGACGGTGTGGTGGGCTTTGCCGTCCCGCGCATGCGCCGAAGTAGCGAAAATCGACTGCCACCCGACTCCAACACCGCTGATGTGGATGCTGCACCATCACCATGCTGCTGCTCCTGCTGGTGTGCTTGGTGTTCCTGCTGCTGCTGTTCGTGCGCTTGTGCCTGTTGCTGTTGGTGTTGCTGCTGCATGAGTATCTGTCGCTGCCTCCGCTGTCTGTCCTCGTCCTCTCTCTGCGCGCGTCGTCGCTCCTCTGCATCCTGCCGCTTCTCCTCCGCTCTGAACACACACACACACACACACACACACACACACACACGCACACACACACGCACACACACACACACACACACACACGATGTATACGAGGGAGAGGGTGTGAGTGTGTATGCACAAGGACTGTGTGTAGGTGCGTGTTTATGTGCGTTTGTGTGTGTGTGTGCGTGGTTATGTGTGTGTTTGTGTGGTTGCACTGTGTAGTTGGGATGATACGCTCATGCTTATCGTCTTACATGGCGGCAAGCTCCTCCTCGTCCGGCAATTTCGTCATGGCCACCGTGTACAACTGCAGAAACTCCCGAATCGCAGCCTGCATGCTTGCAAGCACCTGCAACAACCACGCGCATGTTCAGCAGCCGTCAGATGTGTGCACGCGTAAACATGTGTGTGTGTGTGTGTGGATGTAGATGTAGATGTTGGCCACGTGATGAGGCGCTTGTGTGCCTGCTTCATGAAAGAGCCCATGCACAGCAGCACCAGCGTATGGAGCAGCACCTTCTTGCTCGACGGGCGTTCGCTCACATCCAGACCGCCACCCCCAGCAGCGGCTTTGCTGCACACGCAACGGAGGCACCAATGTTAGCTCCTATGACTGTTGATTTGGAATGCTGACAGACAGACACACACACACACACACACACACACACACAGACACAGACACACACACACACACATATCCAACAAGTTGCTGCACCTGATCTTCCTGAGTGTTTCAAAGTGGCGGAGGATGTCGTCGCGCATTCGTCTTGCATCCGAATGGAGACCAACAGACCCGCTCGACCTGTCAAGTTGCCCCCATCACGCAAACGCACATGCACACACGCACATGCACGCATGATGGCATCAGATACCATGATGGCTGCACAGGGGTGGCACGTCCACGCAGGTGAAGTGCAACATCCTTGTACATTGACTCCAAATGACAAGCAGCCCCTCTGCCCTATCACATGACTTCTCTGTCTGTCTGTCTGTCTCTCTCTCTCTGTCTGTCTGTCTCTCTGTCTGTCTCTCTCTCTCTGTCTGTCTGTCTCTCTGTCTATCTCCCTCTCTGTCTATCTCTCTCTCTGTCGCTTTGTCTCTGCTTGTCTCGTGTTACTCACACGATGCGGTGCACAAAAGAGTTGTAGTCGGGCAGCTGCCGCTGGATTGCCGCTTGCGCCCGCTTCATCTCCTGCAGACAACACGCACACACATACACACGCACAAATTCATGCACACACACATATGCATACATACACACGCACAAATTCATGCACACACATGTGGGTGCACAGGAGGGCAGCGGCGATTGAGATCACGCCACAACCCTCACCACCAGTGGAGCAAACAAGATCAGCCGCACGCACGACAGTGAACATGTGTGTGTGTGTGAATAAAGGAAGCGCACCTCGTAGAGAGGGACGATTGAGGAGACTTGCTTGTCTGTTGCTTCCCGCACCTGCCGCAGCTGTGACCTGCACGTTGAATCGTGATCAGGGAAGACACGGAAACGAATTCGTTTCCATGGTGATATGCAAAGAGAGCGCTCGCATCAGGACACACAAAGACGCACGCAGAGAAACAATTCAGTCAACCCAGCAAGCAAACAAAAAAAAAAAGAACACACAAGTAATGAAGCAAGCACCTATCGCACGCACACACACATACACACACATACACACACGCATATACATACACACATCTACATACACACACCTATGCAAGGACGTCTGGCAAAAGGGGCAGATGCGGATACAGGATGTCTCCTCGAGCGCCAACTTTCGTTTCTTCTGTGCAATTCGCCGCTGCCGCTCTGCCTCCGCTTCTTTCGGTGTCTTGCGCGCATCAGCGAGGCGTGGACTCACCGTCAAGCTCACTGATGATGGAAGAGGTCAGGACACCAAGAGGATAAGGAGAAAGTAATCGCAAGCGATAAGAGAAATGCGCATGCATAAGGAATGGAGTGGGTATGAGCGCAAATGGGAATGATTGTTATGATGGTGAGTGCTGATACATGCTGTCACACACACGCGCGTGGGTGCGCCAGCATGAGGAACCCTGGGCGAGCACACTTCTTGGCACCCCACCCGTTTCAACCAAGGTCGCATGGCTGCTTACCTGCTGCACCCACGTCAAGACCAAGGCTGCAGTCATTACAGATGACTGCCCCGCACAGCCTGCAGTGATGGCGTCGGCGGGCGAGCGAGAATCGCACTGCACACTCCGGACACCGCGGCACCATGTTGCCATCCACCCATGGCACCACCGATTTCTCATACTCTGCAGCAGACATTGCAGTTGGGTGCCCAATGAGTCAGCCAACTTGCTTCCGCCTGTGTTGCAGCTCTCTCAAAACACACCCAAAGGGGAGCAAGCGCATGAACAACCCAATCAAGGAACCTTTCCGCTGAGACGATTGCTGGTTTGATGGGCCTTTGAACAGCAGCTGTCACGATGCACACAGCGTGGAGCGCACAGGCGTGAGCATGTTGTGATTTCACAAACAAACAC